GAGGGGGGAATTACCAAGTGGCATGGTTTGGGTGTCTCCCAAAAGTCCATGTATTAAAGGCCTAATCCCCAGCTTGGTACTATTAGGAGGTAGTAGAAATTTTAAAAGGTGGTGAGGTCTCCAGGTAACTAGGAGCATGTCCTCAAGGGGGGGACTGTGGGACCCTAGTCTCTTCATCTTTTTACTTCCCAGCTATGAGGAGAGCAATTTTGCCCCTCTAACATGTTCCTGCCATGATTTTGCTGCCTTATTACAGGATCAAAAGCAATGGGGTCAATTGAACATGGATTGGAAATCTCCAAAACTGAGCGAAATAAACCTTTTCTCTTTACAAGCTGATTATCTCAGGTATTTACAGTAATAGAAAGCTAACCAACACATATAGAGTGCACAGGATGAATATATATAAATATGAATGTAAAATTCCTTAAAATTTTTAAATGAAACAAAGTTCATCAAAATGCAATGGCTGCTGCCAGGTATGGTGGCACATGCCTATAATCCCAGCAGTTTAGGAGGCTGAGACAGAAGAATCAGACAGAAGAGTTCAAAACTAGACAGAAGAATCAGACAGAAGAGTTTAAAGCCAGCCTCAGCAACTGCAAGGCGCTAAGCAACTCAGTGAGACCCTGTCCCTAAATAAAAGACAAAATAGGGCTGGGGATGTAGCTCAGTAGTCAAGTACCCCTGAGTTCAGTCCCTGGTACAAAAAAAAAAAAAAAAAAAAGCAATGGCTGCTACATAATTTCATGTTAATTCTTAAACTATAAATACTATTATATAATTTATTTATATCGTAGTTATATCTCACTTCAGCAGGTTTAAGATACTTGAGATAACCTGCATGTCACATAAACAAGTGTCTTAAACATTACTCTTTGTAAGTTCTTAAATTTATCAAATGATGAACTATTTAAAATCCAGAGACTGGATGGCTAAGGATGTAACTCAGTGATATAGAGCTTGCTTAGTGTGCTCTAAGCCTTGGGTTCAATCCCCAGTACCAAAAAAAAAAAAAATCTGTTTTCAAAATCTAGGGGCAGGTGTGAGGGTAACAGTCCAGTGGTCAAGTGCTTGGCTGGTATGTCCAGGCCTTGAATTTAATCCCATCACCGTATAAATAAATAAATAATACAGAGTAATTTTGAACTCATCAACTTCAATGGAATAAAGGAAGAGATGAACAAATAAAGACAAAGAGATTGAAACCTCATTAATACATGTACCATTGCTTGAGACTGAGAACCCAGCCCTTTGTTCCTATTGGCTATCTCCCCACTCTTGTCTAATTCACTAAACTTCTGTCATCTTTTTCTCATTTGTAAAATTGAACATTTCTATCAATGTCACATATTAAGAACTAAATATAAACAGGTGCCTTGGAAAGGATACTTGAAAAATTAGTCAAACACAAAGCAGTAGTTAAAGGAATTATAGCTATTCCCCTACCAGAAGAACATTATATTACGAGTGCCTATAATCATGGTTGTTGCAACACTGAAAATAACCCCTAACAAATTGCCTTCAAAATCTTTAAGGAATGGTAGGATTTGCTTTTTAAAAGAATTTTTGGTCTTGCCATGTGATGCCCTCTCCCATGTTGGGATATAGCAAGAAGGCCCTCACCAGAAGCCAGCACCACGCTCTTATACTTCCAGCCTCAGGAACAATAAGTTAAATAAAATTCTATCCTTTGTAAGTCATTTAAAAAAAATTTCAGAAGAAAAAAACATCTGAAACCATTTCTAATGTCTTAATGAATTCACTTCTGCCAGGCGTGGTGGTACACACCTATAATCCCAGGGACTCAAGAGGCTGATGCAGGAAGATCACAAGTTTGAAACCAGCCTTAGCAACTTTGTGAGACCCTGTCTCAAAAACTGAAGAGGGCTGGGGATGTAGCTCAGTGGTAAAGCAACCATGGGTTCAATCCCCAGTGCTGGGGGGAGGGGGGAAGTAGAAATAGGTGAAATTAATTGTAATAATATATTTTATCTAAATCAAACCAACATATCATCTTTTCACCATGTAATCAATATTTTAGATACTGAGGTGTATTTTTTTCATACTAAATCTAAAAATCTGTTGTTATATATTTCACACGTACAACATTAGCCACTTTCAAATGTTTAAGAGCCACAGGTAGTCTAGTGCCTACAGTACTGGACACAACAGATCTAAGGGATAGCTCTTCTAAAGATCACAGCAAGTAACAGACTGTGAATTGTAACATCAGAGTCAGACTGTAAAAGTGGGCAAAAACCAGGAGTACTTAGTTCTAATATTATGGAATTAAATAGCTTAATGCCAGAGTAGGGAAAAGGATAGCATCTTCAGTATGGACCAAAATAATGAAAAGCTCTCCACTAACCCTCTGTTCCTTTCCAAATTCCAGAATCAGGGCAGGACCATTGTGGAAAATGTCCTCCCTTTTTTTGTGTGTGTTTTTTTGTTGTTGGTGATGATGGTGGTGATAATGGAGGTGTTAGTACTGATACTAAGTACAGTACCCATATGCTAAGTACACACTCTACCACTGAGCTATACCCTAGTCCCCCAATTTTTTTCTAACTCACTAGCCAAATTCTCTTCATTAATTTATTAAAGTACCTACAACAAATTGTCTTATTTTTTAGGGGGGAATAGTACATGCCATACCCCAGCTCAGCAATTTACCACTGAGCTCCATCCTCAGCCCTTTTTATTTTTTGAGACAGGGTCTCACTAAGTTGCTGAGGCTGGCCTCAAGTTTGTAATCCTCCTAATTCAGCCTCCCAAGTCGCTTGGATTACAGGTAGGGCTCATGCCCAGCTCCAGGACAAATTTAAACAATAACTTCTGCTTGTGAAAAATAAATTGCTGAACTGGGTGTGTTTACACTCTTCCAGGTGGGGTTGAGAGAAGACTGTGTATTTTAGTGGCAATAGGTCAAAGTACATTAGCTTTCTAGTTTAAAACAAACTCTGTCTAAAACAACAAGGAGATTTAATATTTGTTTTTCCCAAATCATTTTTACCAAGTTAAATTATACAGATACCATCTATTTACCAGTGCTTAATATGTAAATTTATTGAGGACACTAAAATTACAGCTCAGTAGTTTCAGCTCTGATTAATTCTGCTTGTTATCCAAAAATCTATCACTATCAATTAGGTGAAGCTTTTAAAAGGTAAAATGTATTAAAATCTTATTCTCCCAGCAGGTCAGGAGTCTGAGGCAGGAGGATTGCAAGTTCAAAGCCAGCCTCAGTAATTTAGCAAAGTCCTAAGCAACTTAGTGAGACCCTGTCTCAAAGTAAAAATTTTTAAAAAGGGCTGGAGATGTGGCTCAGTGGTGCAGTGCCCTGGTTCTAAATAAAATATTCTTTTAATGCGAAGAACTTCATGATGCCCCCTTTTCAAATAATGGGATAAACTACTAAAAAAGTGGCAAATCATCAGTGAAATTTTTAGGAACCTATTAAAACAAAATAGATACTACACTTAATGCTACATTTGTGAAAATATTTTATGCACAAACACAAAGATTAAAAACACTTTAAAATATCAGGATTATCTCTAATTATAATTTAGGGTTTTTTAATGCTCTTTCTATGTTTTCTACCATGGATGCATTATTGTTAGAAGAAAAACAAAACAGGCAAGTGGAAGCTGAAGCAATGCCAACCAATTTGGGATTACATTGGATTGACATGCCATAATTTCTAAAAACATCCAAGGACCTTGCCTTATACATTATACATCCTCACCTACATTTAGATTTACAACATAGAATGCACACATTATGTAGTAAAGTAAGCTGTAAAACATTAGAGAAAGTAAATGGCTTTTTTTGGAAGAACAGAGAACAATTCAGCACCCTTGCAAAATAAATAACATTATAGCTAAAACTGAGTGCTTACAGAATCAGAGGATTCACAAGACGGTTTTTGCCCCACCCCACCCCCCCCACCTCTGGAGTACAGAAAACAGGAGGAGTTCTCTGAACCACACCTCTAGCCCTACAGATTTGAGACAGCAGCTCAAGAAATTGCTGAGGCTGGCCTTGAACTTGGGATCCTCCACCCTCAGTGGGATTACAGGCAAGCACCACCACCACCCCTGCTGGCAGGAAAAAATGTCTCCAAAGTACAAAATGTAAACCTTCTACTAAATGCCACTGGATTATTCACTTTAAAATGGTTCGTTTTACGTTGATTTCACAATTATTTGGGAAAAGTAAACACATCAAAAGTTAACTTGATTAATACACCAGACTATATAAACACTTTGCTTTGCCCCCCAAACAATACTAATTTTCTTTTTAATCTTGTTTTCTTCATTCTAGAGCAACAAATAAGCATGTCCAATGTAAAAGCTACTGTGATACTGGCGGTGGAATGGATAAATACAAAAGAATACAGTGTAACACTGTATATCCTCCTGCCTTCAAGAAGCTTACAGCTGTGGAGTTATTACATCAAAGAGGGATACAGATCAGAAAAAGAAGCCACAAAACAGGAGTGATGTTTTAATGAAGGTAAGTACTGTTGAGTTAAAAAAAAAAAAAACAAAAAAAACCGAGGGATGATTAGCGGTCAAAACTTGGAACAGGTGAACGAGACGAATTAGGACACAGGACTCGGTTGAGTGATGTTTAATCCTAGATGACAGCACAAAGCCACCCCTCCTCTTCCTCTAAGTGTACACAAATATTGATTGAAAAATGGGTTAAAATCTAACTATTCTAAGTAGCAAAACCAAAAGAACAAAGCAAAACCCCAAACCGCTTTCATGTGCCTGGAGGGCAGACGGTGACTATTCCATTTCACTTAATACCTAATACCTGGCTACACACTTAAGTTTTTACTTAATAAAAGCTGACAGTCGGCTGGACTGTCAACCCGCTCCCGAACACCCACTGGCCTCGCCGGCCTTGGCACTGCTCCGCGGGCGCAGGCTGTCAGGAGCAAGGCCAGGAGCACGACCTTGGCCTCCGACCTGCCCACCCGAACCCGGCTTTCACAGGACAGTCCCACAGGGCCGTCCCAAACAACTGAAAGCGGCTTCCCTAGTCCAGGCCACGCCAACTTGTAAATAAAGGTTGGAGGACCAGCTATCAATGGCAGGTGGGCGGCTCGGCCTCGCGAAACAAAGCTGGGGCCCCATCCCACAGACCTCGGCCGTGCACGCCCGCTGCCCGCCCGCCGCGGGCCCGCCAGCCAGCCCCGAAGCCCAGACCGCGCCACCACCCCCCGCGACGGCCATGGGAGCCCAGCCGATGGAGACTGGCCGCAGGAGACAGGCCGCCGCACCCCGCGCGCCCGCACAACCGCCGCTGCCGGAACGCGCAGGCAGCCCAACCGCCGTCCCGGCCCAACCAACGCGGGCAGGGGAGGAGAGGTGCGCGCGGCCGGCAGAGCGTGCTAGCCACTCGGGGGTCGCAGGGGGGAGGCTGAGCGCGGGGAAGGAAGGGGCGAGGAGGCGCTGAAGCCATCGCTGAATGCAGCCCCAGGAGGGCCTCCCGGAGGAGGTTTTGCCCTTTTCCCCTTAGAAGGTGTAGATGGTTTGACCCCCCCACCCCGAGAGAGGTGCCTTGTCCCAGCCCCGGCTGGACTGTACCATCGGGCGGTGCCGCCGGGATTTCTCCCCCCCACCACCACCATCAATTCCCCCCCCACACCCGGGTCCGCGGTCGGTTGGCCCCGGCCGGGCTCTGAGACGCGGAAAGAGCTGGGCGCCATTTTGGGTGGGACTAAGCAAAGACGAAACACCCTCCCAGACTATGGGGTACTCTGGACCCTGGCTTATCCAGTTCCCTTAATCCTTTAGGTACTTACACGACGTTGGCTGAGGGGAGCTGGAAGATCAGCGGGTCCCCGATCCTCTCTCCCTAGGGGTGATGGAAATCAAACCCCCCCGCCACCTCCAGGTGGTTCTTCCCGCCGCAGAGTGGGAGCAGCATAAAAGGCGGGGCCTTATTAGCATAATCTGCCTGGCAACCTGATCTCGACGTTATATGATTGGTTACACTCTGTAAACTCCAGGCCGTGCCTAGAGACGAGAAACGCTGGGGCGAACTGACAGGCCCAGATTTAAGAGTCATGACGAAGATCCTGAGACGCTTATTCAGTCGGCAGAGAAGCCAAAAGGAGATTCACACAATGGCCCAATGACTGAAGGCCTCTTTATTTCGTGCTCTACTGTTCACGTAAAATCCAATCGAAGAGCGGGTCTCAGGCGGCGCTCGCCTGCGTTTGTACTCTAAGCCAATCAGAAAGCCCGACTCTTTGCATTCAGGGTCAAGCCCCCTCTGGGGCCTGGACACGGTGGAGGAAAGTATCCAGCGGTGTGTCCGCAATTAGAGGACTGACTGTGCGCGGGGATTCCCAGCCCATATTCCCGCACGCCTGAGAGGCTCAGAGTTCTGGGGAGCACACCAGGGCTGTGGCGGGACAGGCGTCAGCTGGGGCCTTCCCGCCCCACCAGGAGTTTTCATCCCAAGGGGCCTGCCAGCCTCGCGCGGGCGAAAACCAAACACTACCACAACGCTTCCAGGCTCAGCGCGCCCAGGACACTCCTCAGTCTTAAGTCTTTCAGGGTGCGCCCCGCTGACCCAGGCGCAGCCCATCCACCTTTCAGTCCTTGGGAACCTGTCTGCGTTCAGTTCCTGTCAAACCAGAAACCGTCTTCACTGCATCTCTCCTCCCCCCTTTACCATTCTGAAAATTAAATTGAGTTCCATAAACACTGAGAAGCATTAGTTAACTCTGGTTAAACAAGTGATTTAAGCCATTCATTTCTCAACCTCAGACTTCCACATCTTATCCTCTCTTAAAGTTGCCTTCTCAAAGGGCAACAAAGTAGATAGCAGCTCAGGCTTTGGAATACAAACCTCAATTCTAACTACCCGCTGGCAATAGGGAAGGCAACTAGTTTTCAAAGACCTTGGACCTTTGTACTTTCAGGGAATAGTTTTCTCATCCACCTTTTGAAGATTAAATGAGATCTCTCTTTAAAATACTGAGTAAAGTGCTTTCCTTAGCACACTGCCCAGAACTTAAACAGAATGCTGATGATAAAACCTACAAACTGGCTAAACTATTATCTAACAAAAAAAAAAAAAAAGGAGAAAATGGGGGAGGGGGGACGACAGATATTTCCCCTTGTAGATATTTTCTTGAGAACAGAAAATATCTACAAGGGGAAAAACTAAAATTCATTTGATATTCTCTTTACTGATTTGTTTAAATAATTGAAAATAGTGGAAAGAAGAGGAGACTGTTCTGTTTTTAAAAATTCAAAAACAGCTGGGCACAGTGAGGCAGGCTGTGATCCCAGGAGGCTGAGGCAGGAGAATCATAAATCCAAGGCCAGTCTCAGCAATTTTTCGAGGCCCTGTCTCAAAATAAAAAAAATAAAATAAAATAAAAAGGGCTGGGGATGTGGCTCAGTTGTTAAGTGCCCCTGGGTTCAATCCCTGGTACCAAAAAATAAATAAATAAAGGTTAAGAGTAATAAACCTTGCTGAATTTAATTGAAAAAATATATAAGGGGATCTGATGAGGTAAACTTTAACATTTTTGGTGAGAAGTGATATTCATTATTCACTCTTTACTGAGTATATGGACATGGAAGTCATTTGCCTTAAGAATGAATATATTGGCTAAGAGAGTCATTAAAATGATCTCTTTTTAGTGTTGTGAGTGACATATTATGCCAAAGGTTGGACAAAAGCTCCCACGCCTTAAAACCCTTGGCCTCTGAGGAGAATTCCTTTTGAGATTCATTAGAATTGGAAGTCTCTGAGGTCTGCTAACCAGAAATGACACAAGAAACCAAAAGAACATTCATCGTGAGATGTGGGCCTACTTGAACCAGAGTGTCCCAGTTATCCTCACGAACTTAAAGAAATGTTCTAAAACTTAGAAGTACACAAATATTACAAGTAGACACCATCCCACAGCTTGTTTTTATTCAAGATGGTCTGAAATGAATCTTAGGAATTTGCTTTTTATATGGCTTTAAATAGTTTCTTAAAATTTACACAGTAAAGGGCTGGGGTTGTGGCTCAGCGGTAGAGCACTTGCTAGCTCATGCAAGGTGCTGGGTTCAACCCTCAGCACCACATAAAAACAAATAAAATAAAGGTACAAAAAAATTTACAAAGTATAAGCCATTTATTGTGGTGTACAGAAAATATTTATTATATATGTACTGTATACCAGTCACTGTTCTACACAATGAGGATAGAAGAGGGAACAACAACAACAAAATATTAACTCCCTGCTCTCATGGAGTTTCCAGTCCCAGGGAAGCCACCTAAGAAAATTCATAAATAATTTTAGGTGATAGCCAGACACAATAGTACAGTGTAATCCCATCAACTCAGGAGGCTAAGGCAGGTGGGTTATAAATTCAAAGCCAGCGTCATCAACTGGCCCTAAGCAACTTAGCAAAACCCTGTCTCAAAATAAAAATAAAAATGACTATGGATGTAATTCAGTGCAGTAGTGCCCCGGGTTACATTCCTAGAACCTAATAATAATAATATATCATAATAAACATAATAATAATTTCTCTATTATAATTAATATAATGTGTTATAATAAACATAATAATTATCATTTTTCCAGGTGATGATAAATGCTGGGAAGAAAATAAAGCAAGAAATACAAAAAGGTGAGAATGCTGACAATTCAAACAGGGGGTCAGACAACTCCTTTCTAAAAGATACTAACGTGGGCTGACAGTTAAATGATTGGGGGGGTGGGGCGGGGGTGGGTGGGTAGCCAGTCATGCTAAGATCTTGGAGAACATTCCAGTCTGAGAGAACAGCAAATGGAAAAGCCATGAAACTTTTTTTTTTCAAAGTAGTATGGTGTGCACAAATTCATTCAATTTTCCATTGAAAAAGTATTAATTGGGTGCTTACTGTATGCCAGGCATATATTAGGTGCTTTAGGATTCATCAATTAACAGACCAAAGGAAAAAATACAAAAATTTGTGCCTTTATGGTACTTTCACTCTGATACACTTAAAAAAAAAAAAAGAAGAAGAAGAAGAAAAAGAAAATGAAAGGACCAGAGTTGCTGAACACAGGGCAAAGGGCATAGTGATACAAGACAACTTGGGAAACCAGGGAACAGATCATATAAGACTTTGTGGTATTGGAGTTGTTTTAAGTTCATTTTAAGCAAAGGAATGAAACAATTTTTTTTTCTAAGATAACTCTAGCCACTCTCGTGCTTATTTTGTTGGTGGAGGGTACAAGATACTAGAGGCAAGGAATATATATTTCAATGTGCTCTAAGTAGAAAATGATGGTGATCTTAACCAAAACAGGAGCATGAATGAGGGGACATGTGTAAGCACAGATATATTTTGGAGATGAAACCAGAGAACTTGCAAATGGATAAGATATGGGACAGAATGATGTTTGCTGATAATGACAAGAGAATGATCAAAAATTACTACAAAATTGAGACTTGAGCCCGGCATGGTGGCACACACCTACAATCCCAGCAGCTGGGGAAGCTGAGACTGGAGAATCATGAATTCAAAGTCAGCCTCAGCAATGGTGAGGTGCTAAGCAACTCAGTGAGACCCTGTCTCTAAATAAAATACAAAATAGGGGCTGGGGATGTGGCTCAAGCGGTAGCGCGCTCGCCTGGCATGCGTGCGGCCCAGGTTCGATCCTCAGCACCACATACAAACAAAGATGTTGTGTCCGCCAATAACTAAAAGAAATAAATATTAAAAAAAAAAATACAAAATAGGGTTGGGGATGTGGCTCAATGGTTGAGTGCCCCTGAGTTCAATGCCTGGTACTCCCCCCACCAAAAAAAAATTGAGACTTGACCAAGTAAATGCTGGTATCTTAACTGAGACTAGAAAGAATGGGAGAAATATAGTTAGATAATTGTAGGTAGTCATATTAAGTTTGAAGTATCTTTTGGGACCTCCTAATACTTACCACAGGCTATGTTCTTATACTAACTATATAGAAAGATGACAGTATGCCAATTGTACACCTCTGTGCCTGGTGTACAGCCCTGTGCCTGGTCTGTATTGTGAATGGGGAGACACAGAGAAGAAAGAAAGGGAGGGAGGGAAGGAAGGAGGGGAAAGAAAGAGAGAGAAAGAAAGATTTTTTTCAGAAATCCAAAAAGACACACTATAAAGGCAGCTGGGTTTCAAGGGAGGGATAGGGACTGGAAATAAAATTTTGAAATAACCAAATAAAGCTTTATTTAGCTACATAGACTTAGAGCAGGGATGTAGTTCAGAGTTGGATCATTGCCCAAATACATATTAGCTGAGGTCTAATTAGTTGCAGCCATCTAATGACGATTAGAGAAGAAACAGAAGCCTGATGTGACTATAAATCTAGCTACCTTGGAGGATTTCAAGTTCAAGGCCAGCTTGGGCAATCTACCCAAACTCTGTCAAATAAAATAACATAAAATAAAATAATGGCGGGGGATGTAACTCAGTGGTAGAGTACTTGCCTGGAGTGTGTCCTGGGTTCTATCCCTGTTATGGTTTGGGTATTAGGTGTCCCCCAAAAGCTCATGTGTGAGACAATGCAAAAAAAGTTTAAAGATGAAATGATTGGATTATGAAAGGTTTTACCTAATCAGTACATTAATCCTCTGACAGGCAGGTAGGGTGTGGCTGGAGGAGGTGGGTCTCTAATTGTGTGCCTTTGGGGTTTATATTTTGTCCTTGTTCTCTCTTTCTCAGCTTCTTGGTGCTATGTCCTAAGCCACTTTCTTCCACCACACTCTTCCCCATGATGTTCTATCTCATCTCCAGCCCCAAGGAATAGGGCCAGCCTTTTGACTAAGACCTCTGAAACTGTGAGCCCCAAAATAATATTTTCCTCTTTTAATTGTTCTTCTCAGGTCTTTTTGGCCACAGCAACAAAAAATCTGGCTAAAAACAATCCCCAATACTGAAAAAAAGAGAAAGAGAATATATATATAGAAAAGACAAGAGTTCTAGGACTAACTAAGTTCTTTGGAGCTGCTGAATTTTAGAGATAAGTGACAGGAGGACAGCCATCAAAAGCTGAACAGAACCAGGCCTGGTGGTATATGCAGGTAGTCCCAGCTGCTTGAGATTTGGGAGTCAGAGGCAGGAGGATCACTTGGGCAGCAGTTGGAGGCCAGCCTTGGCAACAAAACAAAAGAAAACAAACAAAAAGCACCAAAGTTATTGGGGAAGAAAAAAAAAAACTCATCATTACAGAGAAAACCAAAAGGAATGCTAGAGAAAAAAATCATATGACAGCAACCATATCATTATTAAATTTTTTCAAGCAAGAATTATTCATGGATATAAATATAATTGGTGAATTTCAATATCAATATGTTCTCAAAATATCTCCCCCAAACAGCCAAGCATGGTGCACATAATCCCTGTGACTGGGGAGGTGGAGGCAGGAGGATAAGAAGTTCAAGGCCAGCTTCAGCATCTCAGAGACCCTTAGCAATTTAGTAAGCACTTGTCTCATAAAGGGGGTGGGGTATGGCTCAGTGGGAAAGCTCCCCTGGGTTCAACCTCCAGTACCCCCAAAAAAAAATTCCCCAGAAAGAACCCCACACACACGGTGCTAAGTTTAGAATTTATAGCCTAGGCAAGCACTTGAGCACTCATCTACAACCCCAGCAGCCTCACAAAGATGCTTATTAATTACAAAGAGAAAAGCAATAACCTCACAGTGGAAAAGTCTGCAGATAATTATCTTAGCCTGTTGATCAAAACTAATATACTCAAAGCTTGGTATACTCACTGCCTCAGCCTCCCCAATAACTGGAACTACAGGTGTGCAACATCACACTCAGTGATGATTGAGTTTTAATGTCCCGTGAAATGTGCCTCCCACAAGACTTGCTATGATGTGGGCACATCTGATGTGAAAAAAAGTAACAAAAAATTAATATTATGAAACACAAACAAAGCCCAAAAAACTGTTGCAGACTAAAGGAGCCTAAAAAGTATTGAGTAAATGCATGCTCTGATTAGATCAGACCTGGGGGGGTGGGGGGGGCGGGAAACTGAGTTTGTTTATTTGTTTTGTTTTTGTTTGGTATTAGGGATTGAATCCAGAGGTGCTCAATAACTGAGCTACATTCTCCAGCCCTTTTTATTTATTTATTGTTTTATTTTTGAGACAAGGTCTTGCTGAGCTGCTTAGGGCCTCACTAAATTGCTGAGGATAGCTTGGAACTTGTGATCCTCCTGCCCCAGCCTCTCAAATCGCTGGAATTACAGGCTTGAACACAGAACCTGGGAAACACATTTTTTAAAAATAAATTTATGAGCGATGTTAGTGGGACAATTGGTACAACTTAGAACAGCATTGTACATGGAAGTAAGATCTATATATTAGACAATAATCCCATATGAATGATAATTTTCTGATTTGACCACTGTAGATACATAAAAAACCGTATCCTTCCTTTTAGGAAACATACCTTGAATCACTTATACTCAATTCAGAAAAGAGAAAATACATACATTTATATGCAGAGAGTGAGAATGAAAAATCATGCATATGGGATTTCTTTTCTGGGTAGGCGTGAGATAGAGATTGAACCCATGGCCTTGCACACACTACCACTGAACTATACCTAGCAAAATATAAAAATTCTTGTATTGTTTTTACAACTTTTCTGTAAGTTCGAAATAAAACAAGATACTATAAAAAAGAAAAAAACAAGTGGGGCATAATGGCAGTTTGAGGCCAGCCTGGACAACTTAGTGAGAACCTATCTTGAAATTTTAAAAAATTTAAAAAGCTGGGGATGTGGTTTAGCGATAGAGTGCCTGCTTGGCATACACAATACCCTGGATTAAATCCCCAGTCCCACAAAACAAAGGAACAAAAAATGCCAATCATCTGGTTACAGGCCTGCGTGGTGAGGTCAGGCAATGACAGCAGTAAACAACTGATGTGGCAACCTGGTGGGCTGCAGAGAAAGAACCAAGGAGTTTGTGTCCCAACCAGCATTGTTCAGAGCTTCAAATTTAGGATAAAAAGATTCAAATGTAAAAGAGGGGCTGAAGATACAGCTTAGTTGGTAGAATGCATGCCTCTCAGGCACAAGGCCCTGGGTTCAATACCTAGCACCACCAAAATTTTTTTTTTAAAAATGGGTAAAAGAGGCCAAAGAGATGTAGGTATGGGTGACCACGAATGTAACTGAGAATTCAAAATTTATGCCAAAAGCCCAGCAACAGCCAACTCAAGGAGGAAGGAAAGGGAAAGGGAACGAGGCCTGCCCACAACTTGGATTTTGGACATCTAACTTCTAGAACTGAGAAAGAATATCTTTCTGTTGTTTTAAGCCACCCAATCTATTGCACTTGTTAATGACAGTCATAGAAAACTAATCCGATATTATAAAGGGAATAAAACTATGTGGTACAAGACTGCAGGTGGGGAGGAGAAAGAAATTATCTGAATGTAAACAGCTGGGATTTTGAGCCATCAACAATGTATATTTGTTTCTATTTGTACTGGGGATTGAACCCAGGGGCACTTTGTCAGTGAGCTACATCCCCAGCCCTTTTTTGGTGAGATTACAAGGATTACAGGCATGTGCCACCATGCTCAGCACAACAGCTCTTTATATATTTATTCATTTTTGTTGTTGTTGATTATGATCATATTGTTCTTTTTTTTGTTTGGGGGATTTTTTGCAGTGCTGGGGATTGACCCCAGAGCCTAGTACATGCTAGGCAAATGCTTTACCATTGAGCTACATCATCCCTAACCCTTTTCTTTCTTTCTTTTTTTTTTTTTTTTTTTTTTTTTTTGTGTGTGTGTGTGTTACTGGGGATTGAACTCACCCCCAAACCATATCTCCAGCACCATCACCCCCTTTTAAAAATTTTGATACAGAATCTTGCTAAGTTTCTCAGACTGATCTCAAACTTGAAATCCTCTTTCTCAACTTCCCAAGTAGCTGGGATTTTAGAAATGGGCCACCATGCTCAGCTTGGAGGTGATTTAATATGAAAGATTTGGACCTTAATTTAGATTTTGAAATGAAGGAAGCTGTTCCTATGTATGCTAATTAGTTTCCCAGGAGCTGGAAGCTCCTAGGTAGCTTCAGGATGGCAGCCAAGGCTAGATTAGAGGGTTAGGACTTCTAACCCCACTACCCCCAAAGGTTAGGTTGCTCACCAATGGCTAAGGATTTAATCAAACATGTATATGTAATGTGATTCTCATAAAACCCCCAAAGGACGGGGTTTGGAGAGTTCAGGTTAGCTGAGCATGTGGGAGTTCCTGGAGAGTGGCATACTCAGGGCATGGATGCTATTATGGTTTAGATATGAGGTGTCCTCCCAAAACTGATATGTAAGACAATCCAAGAATGCTGGGAAGTGAAATGATTAGATTATGAGAGCTATATCCTAATCTGAGGATTAATCCCTTGAATAGATTAACTGGGTGGTAACTGAAGTCAGGTGTGGTTACAGGAAATAAGTCAATGGGTGTGTGCCTTTGGTGTTTATATTTTGTTCCTGGCAAGCTGAGCTCACACTGCTTCCAGGCTGTCATTAACTGAGAAGTTTCCTTCTCCACCATGATATTCTTGCCTCATCTGGGACCAAGCCATGAAGTTGACCATCCATGGACTGAACCTCTGAAACAGTGAGCCAAAATCATATTTTCCTTCTCTAAGTTGTTTTTGTCAGGTGTATTGGTCACAGTGATTCAAAACTGACTAAAACAGATGCTTTGTATCCCTTCTCTCATAACTTGCCCTATGCATCTCTTCATCCAGTGTTTATCAATATCCTTTATAAAAAACTTTAAACATTAAACGTTTCCCTGAATTCTGTGACCTGCTCTAGCAGATTAATGGAACCAAAGGAGGGTGTTGTGAGAAGAACCTGGGATTTGGAGTTGGCATCTAAAGTGGGGGACAGTCTTGGGGACTGAGCCCTCAATCTGTCGAATCTGACACTTTCCAGGTAGACTGCTTCATAACTGAATTGGATAAGAGGATACCCAGCTGGAGTCTAGTGCTGTAAAGTTGATTCCTTTCTTGATGTAGGGAGAGAGGACTCC